GTCCATAATAGAGTGAAATGAAAAAGTGACAACGAACGAAAAGTTTTATGTACCAGGGGGAGGTAGAGCAAGGGGTGCTGAGGCAGGAGGGAGACTTTGTATAGCCTCAGGTTGCTGAAAATCGAAAACAAATGTCAGAAAAAGGTAGTGCATGAGTCAGATAAACATACATATAAAAAGTCGAGTTGTACCTCAGGAATAGGGACTGATGATTGGAGTTGGGAATCGACATTAGTCGATATAGTCGCTGACGGATGGTCCTAAGAAATATAAAAAATTGAAATCAGGTAACACGTCCTATTGAAGTCCAGGAATATAAAATGATGTAAAGAAGGCACTCACGTGACTGGAATGTGTGGTAGGGGTAAGTTGACCCACTTCAGTAATTATATTGGAGTCCGTCGATAATGGATCAATGACAGGTGGTTGAATAGATCGAGGACTCTTCGATTTTTGTTTCTGAAATTAGAAATCGAAAAACAGAAATTTGTTAAGACCCGAATGAAGCGACTATAAACGAAAGGTCAAAATAAACAGGGAATCGAAAAGAACCTCCGATTTTTTAGAAGAAGAAGAAATGGTGGCCGAGCGTTTGCGCTTTCTAACAAGGGCCGAAGGATCAGATTCATCAGAGGACTCCCAGTCCTTCTCCTTCTCTGCCTCAACGACAACCTTAGAGGACTTCGAAACTGTCAACAAAAGAAGACAGATTAGCTTATAAGATACAAAGTCAAAAAACATGAAAAAGCAATAAAACCTCACCAAAAGGTGATGGAGTCAAAATCTTGACTCGATCGATATGTATAAGTCAGGGAGGCAAGAGAACCTCAGGAAGATTAAGGTAAGGGAAATAAGATAATTTCGAGACAGAAATATCTTTATTTTTGGGTTTTGGGCGAAGTGTTTCCCTTCGGGATCTCAATTCTCGAACCCATTTGGGATGAGTTAAAGGTTTGGCAAGTCCAAAAGGAGCTGTGGGAAGGCGATTTGGGCAATACATTTCAAAAGGGGTTCTACCTAGAGGATTGATGATTTTGTGGTTCGATCGATTAGTGTCTGTTTTATTGGATAAGGAGATAACATCATCATAATAGGTTGATTCTAATTTCAGTGAGGTGTAACATATTTGATAAAAGTTCTCGAATCGAGATATTTGAAGACAGTGGAAGTGTGTACCTTTCTTCGTTTTCGATTTGTCCTGCAACACAAAAGAAGGATGAGCAGTCAATTTCTGTCGGACCTCGTCAAAAGCAGCATGATTACTCGAGAACCAAATAGCCCACCATTGAGAAAAACCCACAGTCGATAAATAATTTGATTCGAAAACATAGGGGTAAAAATGCATCGGAGTTTTTGGCAAAAACTTGACAAGTTCTCGTCCGATTGTCGATTCCGTTAACTTGGACCTTGGGAAAATATCTAAGGGGAAGAAGGGTAAGGACTGGCTCAGACCAAATTGCCTCGAGAAAAGTTGAGGGTAGTAAGTAATGAACTTGAAATCTTTAGATTGAAAACCTGATACTAGTATATCATGAGTTAAATAGTTATTCCATACATCTACCAACTCTAATTGCAACCCAGGAGTTGAAGCAGGGAATTTCGACTTAAACCAAATTGGCCCCCTGAGTTGGTCACTTATTCGTCCCAGATGTACGGTGAAAGGAGCCAAAGTCGAATCGAAATTAACCTTAGTTAACAAAAAGTGGAGGTATCTACAATAGGCAGCTTCATCGGGCTTTTGATGAGGATGACGAGAAGACAATCGGGCCCCCTCTATATTTACACTTGGGGGGACGGTAGAAGTTGGGGGAAGGATGCTCTCAAAAATCAAATTTAGCCACAACTGTATAAACCAAATAGGGCCAGAGAAATTTTCAGAAGTTTTAGGAGTACTCAAAATTTCGACGGCCTCGTCGAAAGCAGTATATACATGTGCTAGCAAAAATTTGGCCAAACATATTCTGGGTTGGCCTAGGTGAAGTAGATATGCAAGGTCAAACAGATGGGAGGAGATTTGGATCGATCGAGGGCAAAAAACGTGGGTACACAACCAATACACTAAAAAAGCGATATGCTCTTCATCAGTTACAGTTATCGATTCATCATCGACGAAATGTTTCTCAAGGAAATGTTCATAAGCTTTCGATTCCCAATCGATTTTAGATCTTAGAGAGTTATCCGAGGGACACGCACCTTTAAAATATCTTTCCCCTATAGGTTCTAATCCAGTAATGGCCGCGACTTCAAAAAGGGTAGGCGAAAGAGGACCGCAAGGTAATTCCAGAGCATGTATTTCCTTATTCCACAAGTGAACGGCAGCCAAGAACATAGCCATGTCCAAATGAGATAAATCACATCGGGACAGGTGCAAAAAAAAAAAAATTCCCACGCTCCTCCAATGATCCCCGAATCTAGCTTTAACCCTATCAAACCATCTAATGAACAAAGGTTTTTTGGAAGGAGGGCCTGTCCGATACACTTTAGAGACAAGGTTCAAGAAATCAATCCTAACTTCAGGTTGGTGTACAAGAGCCGAACTATTCGAGAGGTTGAGGGGAGAAAAGGTTCCATCAATAGGGTGAAGAGGACCCCCAAAAGCGTAATTAACACCATCAGCAGTGTAAGGAATAAGTACCTGCGTCTCAGCTATTTTCCGAGAAGCTTCCTCCATCAAAGGGACTGGAGCAAACTTCTGATTGTTGATCTCCAGCAGATTCGATGCCAATGAGGGAAGGGGTGGAGCGGAAAAATCAGAAGATTTGGAGGAAGTGGCCATTTCAGTAAACTGGTAGGATGAAGAAAAGTAAGGTAAGAGATGAAGGCGCAGGGATGAAGACAATAGCTCAAGGAAGAAGATGAAGTTGCAAAGGGTAAAGGTTCGCGTAAAAAACCAATAGAGTTTAAAAGGGAAAATCGCCTAGGGGGCTGGAAACGACGGAGGTGAAAGGTAATAAATGTAGCGTGTACTGTAAAAGCAGCAGACTGACGAGACGACGACGTAAAGCAAAAGGGAAAACTAAAACCCTTTTAACCCTAGAACCCCAGAAACCCTAAACCCTAAGTTCTGTGGGCCTCCAAACACTAAGGCGGGAATAATGAAAGAATATAAACAGAAATCATTTATATTCTTCCAAGGGGGCATTTTGTTAGTGGAAAATCGAGAAAAGCGATCGAAAACAAAGGAAAGGAAAGAGAAAACACGTGACTGATAAATCAAGATAGATAAAAAATCATTCGATGTCTAAGCACGTAACACATAACATCGAGAAGTACAATCGAGAATCGAAGGAATGATAGTCAAATGCCTATTGTCGAATAAAAACCTAAGAAACTAGAATGATAAGACGTTAAGGTTGAAAAGGAATCGTAAGCAATTTGAAGTTCTCGAAAGTGTAAAATCGAAAATGAAGAAAGCTAACCTACACGGACATCGAAAACTTTGGCCAAACCATAAAGAGAAGAGTAAGTCAAACGCACGGATAGAGAGCAGTTTCGAAACCATGGAGGAAATCGAAGATCGTGAGAACGTGGGAAACCGTAGAAGATAAACCGCCATATGCACGTAGAACGTGGTAGCAGTCGTGTTAACTGCTCTTGGAAGACTTGAACGATGCACTATAAATAGAGCAAAGAAGGAAGAAATAAGGGGGCAGAAATTGGCAGAGAACAGAATCAGTAGTGAAAAGTCTACCGGAGAAACGACGAACACCATGAAGCTTCTGGCAATCTGGATTTCCTTGCTCACTGAGTACATTTACCGCTTTCTGTATTTTCCTTGGTAATTTACTTTGATGCAACTTAAATTCAGCAGTTTTATGTTTCTGTATTTTCCATTCCTTGTCACTTCAATTCAATGAAAGTTTAAATTTCTGCATTTAAGTTTCCCTGTCATTTACTTTTCTTGCAATCTCGATTTCCTGTCATTTACTTTTCTTGCAATCTCGGTTTCCTGTCATTTATATTTGCACTGTTTTCGATTTCTTGTCATTTACAATTAATGTAAATTTGGGGTTTTCGCATTTTACATTTCCTCGCAATTTAATATTCTGTTTCTCGATTCGATATTTTACTCGTGTTCGGTATTTTTAATATAAAAAATAGCATTTTTGATATCCTGTAACTTTCGATTCTTATACACGTTTTCGATTGAAAGTCAAATTGCTAGCTCTAAGTAAAAAGAACTTACGTGGGAGGATTTTGATTAAGACCAAAACACCTTTAGAATCGAATTCGATCGAAATTCCACCAGAAACAAATATATTGATGTTCAAATCTTCACTAAAAAAAATTATATTTAATGTCTAATGGTATATTAGATAGAATTATTTCTACATGAATGAAATAAAAAGAGAGTTATGCCTAGATTTACAACTCAATACTTTTTGTACGTAAATTTAATAGAAAAATAGTGAAATAATTTGAAATTGAAATAAATAATTTATATATAAATATGAAATCATTATTACACTCTTAATATTTTAATAGAAACACATGTACAGCTAATTCTCGATTAAACGTGACAATAAAATGGATTTTTTTGTCATAAATATTTTGTACATGTTAAAGTAAGAATTACAATATTCATTTTTATTGTAGTATTATTTTTTCCTATATTTATCTACCACATCAACTATCTCAATTACTCAACATTTTTCTTGTTATAATTCCGAGGAGTGTATTTTTATATTTTTTTTGTTGTTGCACGTATTCAAACCCTGTAACCATTAACAAATGGACTAATCCATGAGCGAACCCAACCCAAATATTTGCAATCGGATCGGGTCGGGTATGTTTCAGTCACAGTAATACAGTATACTGTTGGGCGAGAGAGAGATTTTAGGGTTTTGGTGCCCCTATATAATGCTCGCAGCGGCTAGGTATTTGCCACACCGATTCAGAACACTTTTCTATTCTAGCGAAATTAGATTACAGCGAGTAGTTCCTTCAACTGTGGTGAATTTTTTCTCCGCACGGTGCCTCCCGGGCATCTCTGAATCCGCATGACGCGAACGCCCCGATGCACGTGCGAAATCGCCGCCGTTCGTGTTGCAGTTCAGCCCCAATTTTCCACGGCTGATCTGTGTCAAAGTAACGGCAAAATTCCTCTTTTTAAATCTGTCTCGTATGTATGATTATTTTGTTAAATGCTCAATTTGCCTTGCTATACCTTCAGCTTCTTTTCGAACACATGTGTTCTCTGGATTCGAAGCTAGTCCTAAAGGCGTAAAGTTAGCGCGGTTGTTTTCACTCGGTGCGAGGGTTCTTCCTTGGTTCCTCAGAAAACGACCGTCATATTCGATTTTAGGTTTATTTATTTCTTTTAGAATTTATCGGCTATGATTATACATTATCCACGCTTCTGAGATTCCTCGATGAAGGAAATTTGGTTAATATGGTTGAATTTCTTGATATGAGCCATGATTTGTTATCTAGGAAAAATCATATATTAAATTTTATGTTTCAAATATTAATATTTTTGCAAATACCAATTTATTATATTTTTATTTAATAGTTGGCTATGAGGATATCTATTCAGCTTTACGCCAGTTCTGCTTCTGAAAGTTTGTGATTGATAGAGCTGTTATGTATCACTGAGCCTCTCAACAATGTTCTATAAATTTGTTTTTGTTCGTACAATATTAGTTTTTTAATAGCTTAAATTTCTGTTTGAATTTGCTGATGATGATTTAATCCAACTTGTTGAGGTGCTGTGGAGCCAAGACCCTGTTTACAGGGAGAACCTACTTGGTGAAGCTTCATTCAAATGATATCATTGGATTTTTCTGAGGCATTTTACTATGATAAATTGTGTTATAGACTTAATTGAATTGACTTTTTAAATTTTTTTTCTAGAATGTATATTAAAGTATACTATTATAGGTTCACCCATGATTTTCCAATCCAACTTGCTAGAGGTTGTAGTTGATCTAAGACCCTGTTTCAGGGAGAACCTACTTGGTGTTGCTACACTTCCTATGACAGCAACTATTGATCTGAGGTTACCTTTTGTAGTTGAGATTTTTGCTTTTGTATATGTTGTTTAGGCTAAACGTGTTTGGTTATATATTGAGTTTCACTATACCCTGTTCTGACTTAATTAGTTCTGGGTCTGAAAAACTCAAACATTGAGTGTTGTCATCAGCTTCATCTTCTGTTCCACTCACGAGATAGGAGTTAAATAACAGCACTACATTTTTGACGCATATTTTATAATTTAAGTTTTAGAATGCATGGTCCTGGCATATGTAGCAAGGAGGATGGTTTTTAAATATTTATTCTGTGATTCTATGTTCAAATGATGTAGCCCCTAGTTCTATAGTTTTTTTTTTATTGTAATTTTCTTCCTAATATTTTAATTCCTTTTATACTGAATTGTATCTTAGGTTTATAGGTTATTGACTTTCATGATGATATTATTTTGCAGTTCTTGATGTTGCTGAGGTTTTCTAGCCGATACAATTTTTGCAAAGTTCTTGATGTTGAAGTTCCACGAAAATGATTGTAATGAAAAAAAAGTGCTCTGAATGTAATGAAAATGATTGAATGGTTAATACAAATCACCTAATTAAATACATGTGGACTTTAAGTGAATTGATTAGGTGAAATGTTCACTATTTTATTCTTAAAAGTCTAATTAAAAATATATATTTTTAATTTTATATTTTTTAAGAAGAATTAATTATAAAAAGTGAAAAAAGAGAGAGTGTAGTTTAGAAAAATAAAATTAATAAATTGTTATATTTTAAATAAATGTATGTGAAAAACTGGGTTTGGATCAACAAAATACCGTATTTGACAAGCTTGTGTAGTAGGACATAACTAACAGCATACATTAGTATTGTTCTGTGTCATGGATGTAAAAACTGCCAGTCAACCTTTCACAAAGAGTTATGTTATTGGAAATAGATGCAAAGAAGCAATCAATGCATCAATGTTTACCATCAAGTGTGACTACTTTCTAGCAAAGACTAGCAGTGGACAAATGGTTATGAAAAACAATTAAACAATATAATATTAATAAATAAATAATAAATATAAAAAAATAAAAATTATATAAATAATAAATAATTATAACAAAAATAAATATCAAAATTATAAATTTAAAAGTAAATATTGAATTTAGGGAAACAAAATCATGAATCATTAAAATTTTATGAAATTTTAGAATAAAATATATATTAAAAATTATTGAGTAAAATACATATTACAAACATCGAAAAAAATATTGGAAAAAAAAATGTCACAGAAATTGTAGAGTAATATTTTATTTTCAAAAGCCATGAATAATATTTCAATTTTTATTATTTTATGTTTATAATTTGAAAATAAAAATTGTTTAAATATTCAATATTTCCAAAATTTAAAAAATCATTAAACTTTTTTTATAAAAAAATTAGTATAATACTTCTAAGATGATAAAATTATTTAATCAACTTAATAAATCAAGACAGAAAATTTTAATTTCAAGAATATTCATATATTTATTTTTATTTAATTTAATTTTTTTAGTCTAAAAATATATTTGTTTAATTTTAATATTACTCTCTAAATTTTAATTGTCAAATAGTATTTATTTTAATTTATGTCTTAATAATTCAAGTTCTAGTGGATACAATATAATAAATGTTAGTAATGGAGTAACGATGCTATTATATATTGACTTAGTAATAAATAATAATAAATGTTAGTAATGGAGTAATGGTTCTAGACAAATTATTTGTTAATAAACTGCGTCAATATCTAATATTATTTTCCATTTTTCTTCCTTGAAGTAAATGAATTGATCAGTAACCCATTTATTGAAAAAAAAAAAAAAAAAAAAAAGAGTATGGACTACAAGAACCCAGTGCAAAATGCTGTGTGCTATAATTTCTCCCGGAACTCGATATCCCAAAAGTGAAAAACCTAAAATACTATTCTTATGTTTGTACGGTAGTCTAACTTCTTCACTTTGTCCAAAAATTTTGCAATTCTTTGATTTTTTTTTTATCATCTTTGTTGAAAGTTTTTCTAACTATTAAAAATAATTAATTATTAATTTTATGTATAAATTACATGACTTAAATTATACAAACAGATGCAAAATGCACAATATGTAAAAATAGGTTAAATTCAAGAAGTCTTAATGCGAAATATATTTTCCAATTGTCTTTCTCTAAAACATATTATGAAACACTAATATCATAACCTAGTTTTTGGAATATATTTCTGAAATTACTTTTTTAAAAATATATTGTGAAAATTTATTTTTTTAATAAAATAACTTTAAAATGGTAAAATTTATTAAGTAGACAGTGCTAAATATTTGACCTGTTTTTAGTTTTAAATTTTGATTTTGTGAAACTTAATTATTCTGTTCCTCATTTATACAGAATCTACTCGGAACGGTTGGGACAACGCATTATTTAACTGTACCTACTTTCAATCAATGGTGGATTTGATATTGCATCACGGACTCTCTTGCATGGGTGTCTCTTCCTTTACACGAAAACAAAATTAAAATAAAATGTTTAGCAAAATATAAATACAAAATTAATATTTATAACATTAATTTTATTTATTTACATCTTAATATTTTTATATTTTTTTAATTAAACACTTATAATTTTTAATTTCTCTTTTCTTTTTTATATATTCTCTCAATTCATTTCAATATTTTATATATTCTGTCAATTTATCTTTTAAACAAAATTGCTCTGTCTCTGAATCAAGATAGTTTATATGTAGGAATGATTGGAACATAAATAACATTAAGAATATTTTAGAATATAAAATTTTAATTTTTGAAAATTAACTTTACTTATGAGAATTAAACTTTTTTATTTATAAATATAAATATTTTATTGTGATTGACTGTCCCGAATTCAATATTTAAGAGATATGTTTAGATTAATTAATGAATCTATGAGTATCACATGAATGTTAAATTATTATTATTATTATTATTAAATCAATACATATTTTTAATATTTTGTTTTTGAAAATAATAGTTTGACAAATTTAATTCCAGGTATATTATTTAATTTTTTATTAGGTACAATTTTGTTAAATACTAAATGAATATATTCCATATATTTATAGTTTTATCCACAGAGAACATAAATTTTACTTTCCTTAAATTAAGAAAGTAAATAAAAATAAATAATATGTTGTATATTGTTTTTTCATAAGGAATAAATAATGAAATAAATAAATATTATACATAATTGAAAAAAATATTAAGAATGTTACAAATTAATTTTAAATAAACTAATTTTAATTTATAAAAAAATTATTTACTTTTATTCTTCTATTATAATTTATTTGGAGCACGTTTGGCTAAAATTAGTTTTCGCAGAAAAATTCCAATATATCCCTTATTTCAACACCAAACCAAAATTCTAAAAATATGTTATCAAATTTTATCTCTTATAAACGACTAATATCTTATGACAAAAATATTATTTAAAATTTTAAAATAATTAGAAATAGAAGCAGTTTTAAAAGAAAATAGTAAGACAAATATTGATTGACATTAGTTTCAAAATCTCGATTTTGAGTTTATAAGAAAATAAAAAGATTGAAAACTAATTTTTATTATAACAAATTAAGGCTTTAGATAAAAATACTTATAATGTAATTATGGAAACATTCCATTTATTTTTGAGATATTAAATAAATATAATAATATAATATTTATTACTATTGTAGTTTCATAATATATGTTAATATTATTTCTGATAACATGAACTAATAATATTGCCAATTTACACTTTCAAATCTTTCATAATTTTCTTTCATTTAAAAAATCATGACATAACCTATTACTTTTAGTGTATGATTCAGATTCAAACGATTTAATTGCGAATGTAACAATTTGTAGAGAAAGTTCATTTTTTGAGGTAAAAAATTTGTAATTTCGAAAACAAACATCCTTCTTCTCAGATGAGAAAAGAAATGGAGGAAAAGTTTACATTAGATTATATATAATATATAAATAATAATAATAATTTTAATAATAAAAAATATAATAATAATAATCATATTAATAATTAAAATAAAAATAACTAAAATAGTTATAACATTTTAAATTATATTAATCATAATAATTTTTATTTAATTATAACTTTTTTTAATTTTTTTATTAAATTAATTTTTTTATTATTTATAAACTTTTTTTTTCATTTTTTTTTTACATTTCTTACCTTCTTTTCCTTATCCAAAAGTACCTTTCCACCAAATATATTGTTTTCTACTTTCTCAGATCCATCTTCTCATACAGACACATTACTGAATTAAAAAAAAAAAAAATAAAGCCACAAAAGGATGTTCATTCTTTTTGTGAATGATGTTCGAAAATCAAGGGACATAACCATGTTCCAGCTACGAACTCAGATGGTAATAATAATATCCTATCCACACGTCAACGCCACGTGTTAAGATCCAACAACTTTGTCTGAAGTTCAAACAGAGACACTCACAGTTCATAGATCAAAGCTCTGCAGTTGAGCTCTAATCCTAATTCTTGGTACCATGACGGTTGCTTCCTTCTTCAACAGGGCCTCCAGGGTTCTCAGCTCCTCTAATTTTCTGCTGGTCTGCACTCTCAGGTTTTTTTTTTTTATCATCAATTTTTTTTTTTATGTTCTTTTGATCCACCTAGGAAGATGAGAAAGGTACTTCTGGCAATATTTTATAGTTTAAGATTCTAGTGCTTGTTGTTAGTTGAAGTTCTAACTTGAGAGTGTGTGGATTAACTTACATTCATATAGATGTGCATGGACCATAAGTTATTTTTGGGGGTATTATTATATTATTTCACTTTATCCATTTGCTATATTGTTAATAAAGATCATTCAATGAGTGTTCTTGTTGATGTTGGATTAGTCTTGCATATAGATCCCTATACTACATTCATCTATCCCTTGTTATTCTTGGGCAATTGAGCATGTGGCTCTGATATGCTTTAGGAGTAGTACTTCCCCTACTATCAAGAGTTGTTTGATGTGATTTATTTCTAAGTCATCATTCAGGAAGATTGCAGATCTTGAGATATGGTTTAAAG